AGAACTGCTGAACTGCAGATAACAGTCAGCTGAAGTGGCCTGCAGTACTGCACCCTAACCACTGCGCCACCTGTACTCACACCATCTGATGAATATAGGAAACGTGAATCCCACTGTTATATTTGGGGGGGGGGGAAAGATGATGCTGGAAGCTGTGTCACATTTGTCACTATAGATAGCAAATCTCATTTTGGAAGTGTCCATTGTAATACATAGAAATAAAAATATGCTGTGTTTCTGTAGCATGGCTGTATCTCTGTTACAACTAGCTGCAGCTTTATTGAGCTTGCCAGTATTCAGGTATATTTTACTTCTGTACAATTTGCTGAGCATGCTTTTATTTTGGTATCACCTGCATGCCAAGGATAAATCATCAAGGCATATAAATAGGTTGTGAGAGCTCTTGAATTATGGAAGTTGCTTTGCCTGATTAAATTTTGGGTGTAATATATTTTTGGCTACCACTCAGTAACTCATGTAAGGAAGGCAGACTAGTCATTTGGCTTCCAATTCCCATAAACCCTAGCAATTTTGATGAATAAAAAAGGACTGTGAAAATTGTAATCCAAAAAACTGGGCACAGGTGTCTTGACTCTTTCTAGTGCTGAAAGACAGCATACAATATAATGTTTTTATTTTCTCTTGTGTCCTGATTTAACTGCTGTGGCATTTTGACATTTGGTTTTATATTTATTCCTTTTATTTTCTGTGTGCTTTGAACCATTGGATTGGGCTGTAAAAATTAAACAACATATATTCATAAATTTTTAAGTTTCTTTAAAATGGTCTTTGGCTAGAATTACAAATAAATGGTTCAAATGAATAGTTTTATATGACTGTAGGTTTCTAAATGGGCTAAACTGTATACAGTACAATAGTTAGGCAGCTATTTTAATCATAAACAGCCATAAACACTTGAATTGCTACTGGAATGTAATTTGCCCCTTGCTGGTATAAAATTTTGTTATAGCTAATGCATAATGCTGTCTGCCTATGGGCAACAGAAGTCACTGAATTAACCTGGGCTGTTAATTTTCTAGACCCCTGAAACAATGCCGAAATATTTAAAACATTTATTTTTTTCCCCAGTTCATGGGAGTCAATTATGCACTTGTATTTTTGTCTTTTATGGGAAAAACTAAAAGTTTGGATTTATTGAATGTTGAATGTTTATTTAATTTGTATGCCGCCCCACTCCCGAGGGACTTGGGGCGGCTAACAATCAAAGGGGGGGGAGGGGATACAAATAAGACCAAAGACAAAGTAAAAACAACAGCAGTCACAACATTTCAAGTGGGGCTGGAAATTCTTCAGCCCCAGGCCTGC